GAACAATGGCTCAATAGGGCTTAAAAATGGATAAAGACTGAATTTACCATGCAGCAACAGAAATAAAAGAACATTGACTTATTTGATTTGAGAGGAGAAATACTATCAGCAGTTAAGAAACTTGCTGCCATGTAGACAAAAATGATATGTCTTTTTTATTGTGGTGTATTTAAAGATTCATTAGCTCACTCATTCAATCAGCTCACATTTAAGGGGACAAAGGCTAAGAAAAGGAGTGGAAAAATCTTATAATGTTTCCTCTACATGTCACAAGTGGAGTTACCTGAACACTCTGTGTGTGTGTGTGTGTGTGTGTGTGTGTGTGTGTGTGTGTGTGTGTGTACCGAAGTTTGAACTCAGTGAATTCCTCCCTCATTTAGCTTTTTCCACTCAAGGCTAGTGCTTTATCACTTCAGCCACACCTCCACTTCTAGTTTTTTGCTGGTTAATTGGAGATAAAGAGTCCCCTGGACTTTTGTGCCAGGTTGATTTTGAATGGTGATCCTCAGATCTCATCCTCCTGAGTAGCTGGGATTACAGGTGAGCCATCAGGGCCCAGCTCATTGAACACTTGCTAGAGGATTCACATCTTTTGAAATAGAATGCTGTCTGCTTTTTTTAAAATTAAATTTTATGAGAAAGACATAAGCAATTTAAGTATATTTTTCCATTTGAAATAGAATGTGTATGGCCATGAGGAACAGATATTTGGGGTACAGGAGTTGCTAGGAATCAGGGGTCTTGCTTGCAGATGGGGTCACACCATAATCAGCTCACTGTTGCTAACTACTGAGATTGTCTTGACTATTTTATGTTTTAATTTTTCTTATTCAGAGTTACAAGGGATTTTTTCGTTTTAATTTATACGAAGGGAAGCTAGCAAACTAATCATAGTTGTAAAATTGAATAGCTTTGCAGATTCACCTCAATGTCATCTTTGTCAGAGCTGAAGTTGCATCCACTGAGCAAAAAATCTTATGTAAAACCATTGAAAGCCAGGCACCTGTGGCTCACCCCTGTAATCCTAGCTATTCAGGAGGCTGAGATCTGAGGATCACAGTTCAAAGCCAGCCCTGGCAGGAAAGTCCATGAGACTCTTAACTCCAATAAACCACCAGAAAACTGGAAGTGGTGCTGTGGTTCAAATGGTAGAGGGTTAGTCTTAAGCTGAAGAACTCAGGGGCAGCACCCAGGCCCAGAGTTCAAACCCCATGACCAACATTTAAAAACAAAACCAATAAAAAAAATCACTCAAGTTTTTGTTTTCTGGTTTTTTGGTTTTTTAATGTAAAATTACTAGAAAGGCTGGGCTCAAATCTAGTCCCAGCTACTTGGGAAGTAGAGATAGCAGATAACATTTTGAGGTCAGTCTAAGCAAAAAATTAGCAAAGAGCAAATCAGGCATGGTATTTTTCTCCTATAATCCCAGATACATGGAGGTATGGAAGTATTAGTAGGAAGTTCATGGTCTGAAGCCAACTCTGGGAAAACTCCATATGAAAACTAATTAAAGCAAACATGGCTAGGGACATGGTTTAAGTGTCACATCCCTTGCCTAGGAAGTCTGAAGCCCTGAGGTCAAACCTCAGCACATCAAAAATTGCAAAATGAAAATGAAAACTCCTACAACTTATTCATATAAAAGATACAATTTTATTCAGGTATAAAAAATAAATTTCAGGTGAGTACTTCTTGCAATCCTAGCTAATCAGAAGACTGAGATCTGAGAATCACTATTCAAAGCCAACCCAGACAGGAAAGTCCCTGAGACTTTCCTCAAAGTGTAGAGCACCTAGCTTTGAGCAAAAAGAGCTCAGGGATAGCACCTAGGACCTGAGTTCAAGCCCCATGGTGGACAAAATTAATTAATTAATTTCAGCTGTCTTGGGTACTCTAAAAGTCAACAGAAAAAGATAAAAAAAAAAAGTACACTGATAATTAACATTCAAAGGCTTCTTACAGCCTCATGGTGTTGTGTAGAGTAACATTTATGTGCAGCCTGAAACAAAACACTAAATACATTATTAGTATCAACCATTTTATTTTTTAGTACAATATAACAAAATTTTTTAATTCAAGACATTTTATAAGTATTCAATATTGACCAGGTAGTTCAGGGTGTTTTTTTTCCTGTGTTTTAATATATAGTATTATGAAACTGAACACATTTTAATTGGTTTACCAAAAAATTTTCTTATTCCTTATGTAATTTTTACAGTAAATTTTTAAATGTTTTCCTCATTATATCAGGTAAAGCAGAATATTACCAAAGATGATATTAAATATTAATTTCTAATAATCTTTAATTAAAATTGAAGTTTTGGGGTATTTTGTTTTGCTTTATTTTGTTGCCAGTCCTGGGGCTTGAACTGAGGGCCTGGGCACTGTCCCTGAGCTTCTTTTGTTCAAGGCTAGCACTCTACCACTTGAGCCACAGCGCCACTTCCAGCAAAAGCTGTTTATGTAGTACTGAGGAATGAAACCCAGGATTTCATGCATGCAAGGCAAGCTATCTACCACTAAACCACCTTCCCAGCCTTAAAATAGAAGTTTTAACTTCAGGGACTCTATCATATATCATTCAACAGTTACAAGTGTTTATCTAACTTATTTAAGTTTCTCAAAAGTAATTTACATATATTTAAAAGTTTTGGAAATATTTCAGGTGCCAGTGGCACATACCTTTAATCCTAGCCACTAAGGAAGCTGAGATCGAGGATGGAGCTTTGAAATGAGCCTAAGCAGGAAAGTACATGAGATTCTTTTTTTTTGGGGGGGGGGGGGTCCGGTTGTGGGGCCTGAACTCTGGGCCTGGGTGCTGTCTCTCAGCTCTTCAGCTCAAGGCTAGCGCTCTACCACTTGAGCCACAGCGCCACTTCCGGCTTTTTTCTTTTTGCTTATGTGGTGCTGAGGAATCGAACCCAGGGCCTCAGGCATGCAAGGCAAGCGCTCTTCCACGGAGCCACTTTCCCAGTCCTGAGATTCTTATCTCTAATAAATTACCCAAAAGAAAAAGCCAGAAATGGAGCTGTGGTTTAAGTGATATAGCCTGGTAGCTATAAGTTTATTTTTTAAAAAAGCTCAGGGACAGTGAATTGGCAAAAAGAAAAGTTTGAAAATACAGAGTGACTATGTTGGGAGTTTCCCCTTTTCTTTATAGTTCAGAAAACAGGTAAGAGGGATTAGAACAATTTACCCAAGGACAAACACCTGATAAATGACAGATTCTAGACTAAAACTCAGTATGAACAGGTATGTTTCTGTGTTCAGATATGTTAGTACATATCTGTAATCTCAGCTACTTAGGAAGCAGAGGCAGGAGGCTGTCAAGCTCAGAGCTAGTCACAATAAAGTTAGGAAGACCTTTTCTCTAAAACAAAACACAAATCAAAGGGCTGGGGAAATTGTTCAAGTGATAGAGTGCTTGCCTAATGTGTGGGGATGTCTGGAGTTCAATCTCCTTCCTTAGGTGGAAAGGTGCTGAGTCACAAGTAACTTCGAAGATGTACAAATGGAATTGCCACATAGACACTTGAAAATGCCAGTCTGAAAGGCTCTTGAAAGTCTGTGCTGAAATGTAGGTTGGATTTCCATCAACAGGAGGGTGGTAGGGGAGACAGAGCACTTGGAGAGTCACTGTGAGAATGAAACATGGAGAGGAAAAATGTATGAGTTATGCCCTGAGAAAATGTCCACTTGGGGGTTTGAGGAATCAGAAATATGAGCGAAGAGGGGAAAAAAAACCAACAAAACATAAACAAGAAGGTAATGGAGAAAACCGCATAGAACCATGAAAGCAAAACATGGCTTAAATTACTTGAGTTTATATTGGACTTTTCTTTTTTTTTCCATTGTGGTAATATCTCAGGGAGGTAGATCAGATATGTCTATAGACACCAAAACTTAGCTTAACAATGTTAAACCATGTGCCTGTCCTCAGACGCTTAGTCATTGGGAAAAAACTAGAATCCACACCTGTTCCAGCCTCCAAAATCCATTTTCTCTGACTAGTGATCTGCAGAGTACAGAAGACAATCCACTGTGGTGTGGGGAGAAAACATCAAAAACAATGAGTCTTATATTGTCACCTCTAAAATTTGTATCTTTGTGTGTATTTTATAATGTGCATCCTATATTTATATAGGAATGTGTGCATATCATAAATAAATGTATCATTTATAAATTAAGAGTATATGTCTATTGACAACGAGGCCACTCAAAATTATTAACAGGAGTATCCAATAAAAAATAGGAAATTATTGCTTTGAACAACTATGCAAAACTGCCTTTTTGCCTTGCCTTGTCTCTCAGTCAACAATAAACTAAATTCACTTCATGTGGTCACATTGCCTTTCATTGCAATACTAGTTTTAATTCACATAAGTAAAAATTTTATTTCATAGGCTCTTTTCATGGCATTGCTTGGTATCCTCATAGAAGCATAGTGAAAGGCACTGAGCATATAGCAAATAGACCTGGATGACAATATCAACTTTTTACCTTCACCATGAGACCAAGTGTCTCAGAGCCATAGTTTTCACATCTATAAAACCAAGACACCATTTACCCCGTACATTGTTTTAAATTCTAGCAGTGGTGTAAGGAAAAAGCTTCACACTGGGCCTGATATGCAGTAGGTAATTTGAAAAATACAGCCGAGAGTAAAATAGCAAAAGTCTATTTGCTGCAGGCATCATCTATCTCCTCTAAAACCAGGTTGCATATACTTTGGCAAAGCTTGGCTAGTGTTGTTCTTAATTCAACTAGGAAATTTATATGAACATGAAGAAAAACTGTGTTTTCAGAAATACGGAGAACCACTTCCTCCTGCCCCATGCCTTTTATATGGACCCTGGCCTAATGTAAAGTGACAGCCTGGGAAACAAGTTGACAAAAATGTTGAGGATCAAGAATAGAAGAAAAGGAGGCTAATACCATTGCCCACAGCTACATCACTTGGTATGTTGAATGTCTCTCTACTTGTCTGATATTCTCCGCAGATTTGTACTCCTGACTTGGTGGTATTCCTGGCTTGTGCCAATCAGAGGCTCAAAGAAAGATTGCTGAAACGTGCAGAACAGCAAGGGCGGCCTGATGACAATCTAAAAGCTACCCAAAGGAGACTGATAAACTTCAAGCAAAACGCTGCTCCATTGGTTAAATACTTCCAGGAGAAGGGGCTCATAATGACAGTAAGTTAGTTTTACTCTCACATGCCCAGTCCAAGAATGATCGTGTTTGTACTTTCTCCCTTGTCATGTTTGTATTTTATCACTTAGCTGCTTGACTTTATGAAGTGCCTTTGGGAAGGGCAAAAGAATCATTTTTTTTTAAATCAATCATTTGCCCTGACTTTTTTGTTTGTTTTTTTGGTAGGTTGTGGGGCTTGAACTCTGGGCCTGGGCACTGTCCCTCAGCTCTTCAGTTCAAGGCTAGCGCTCTACTACTTGAGCTACATCGCCACTTCTGGTTTTCTGGTGGTTTATTGGAGATAAGAGTTTCACAGAGTTCTGCCCGGGCTGACTTTGAACCGCGATCTTCAGATCTCAGTCTCCTAAGTAGCTAGGATTATAGGCGTGAGCCACCGGCGCCTAGCTCTGACTTGTCTTTATTTAGCCATTATGTTTCTTTTTACATATTTTATTTTATTTTAGTTGATTTTTATGACAGATAAAAATATTTAACCTTGTCTAGAAGTCTATACTTCTCAAGTAAAAAAAAAAAGGTATGTTGAAGTTAACTATTTTGATTATTTTCAGCACTATTTGTCCAGTTCCACAATGCTTCTGCCTTTGAAAATGTTGCAAAATTGATAGATTTCTAAGTAACAGTTGGCCTGCTGTGCTGTTAAATTCTCTTAAGTCTTCTGTATCATAATGTACTACAGAAGTATATTAGATTCTGATTTCCTAATGTCTTGACATGAAGAGGTGACAGTGTATTGAATTAGGAGGAGTTATTTCTTTGCTTATTTGGAAGAGTAAAAATGTTAACATTTTTCTAAATATTCAGTCTGCTTTGTAGTTTATTATATTCAATGACAGATGACCAAGATCACTAGTTAATGCAGTTCTTAGAATCTAGAACAGTAGATACAAAGGCTGAACTCAATATGTGATTCCTCACAATGTCAAATTTAAATACTAAATCCCAGAGGAGAACAGTAGGATCCCAGGCCATCTGAAGAAAGCCCTTTATGCAGTACAACACTCAACCCACAGGAGCTCTACCGTAGCCAGGCAATGGCAAGTCTCAACACAGCCTCCTGTCTACCCTTGGCCCTTCCAACAAGATCCATGCTTCTTGCTAGTGGGCTTGTAAGTCCCCAAAAGAATCTGATGAAAGTGGCTTGTGCCACTTTCAAGTTTGAGGCAACAACATCCAACAAACTTTCTATGACCTAACAATTCCTGGGTTAAAATTACTCTCATTAGACAAAGATGCCCTTAGACCTGAAAGAGACCATCATGACATTTGAATACTGAATTTGACAGTCTTGAAATATTCATTACAGTTGCTCATTGAGTCAAAGTTATCATGTCAGAGAGTTGTAAATCTGATCTGAAAAATTGTTCATAATGCTAGAGTTCATTTTTTGGCTTAGAACAGACAGTGAGTAATAAGAAAGATTCAGGAAAATGAGAGTAAATATTTCTGTGGCTATTTTGGGAATGATTGTGTATTTTTCTCATCAATTACCAATGCTGATTTTTGCATTGTGTTGTGAAAAAGACTAAACCTCAACTGCAAGGTGAAGAGCCAGAGTTTTTATTGATGTGTGCAAGGCTGAACGGTATCACCAGTGTCTCTCATTACTCCTTGCTTGTCATGTTCGTCATCACTAGCAGAGTAGATTTCCCCAATGAATGCAGAGTGAGGATTGTTAATTTACTAATATTTTGCATGGAGGTGAAATGCCATTGCCTCTAATTGAAAGAGTCAATAACAATGTGGATGACAGCCTGAAACCTCGCTGCTAACACCAAATGAGCTTTAAGATAAATATCTCTAATTACTGGGAGAAAACTTGCCTTGGAAAGTCACCTTTTAGAAAGCAGTGAGCAGAGGCAGCTCTGGAGAATATAATTGGGGGAAAAAATAATCTGTCAGCAAGGCAAATGCTGCATCCTGGAACCCATGTTCTCTTTCAGAGGTTGGCTCTGACTTCAGTTTTGAAACTGAAATATATTTGGTAGAATGTCATGCTTAAAGATGAGCCAAATAATAAAAATGATCATCTTTACTAATCACAAGCCTGTTAAGATTTTAATAAGTATCTTTTGGTCGCTAGAGCCAACCCCAAGTATATATTTTTCTCTGTTGTTTCTTCCCTCTTCCTTTTCTTCACCTTCTAATTGAGTCATTTATTCATTAAGTAAATATTCATTGAAAACCAAGATGCTCTGCTAGGCATTCAAAGCTAAATGCACAAAGAGTGAAGATCTTTATTTGTTCACCAATATATTCCAAGCAACGAGAACAGGACTTCTTAAGTCCATAGCAAGTTCCAGCTAAAGGAGGAGCTTGTACTCTATAGGGCAACACGGTAAACAATGAGTTACCACGTGTGATGATGACAATTAATTTTTAAGTCCATCAAATGTGCAGGGAGCTCTCATATAAGTCATACACTATGTTAGGGCCAGAATTCCCTGTAGTGACAGAATGGGGTCCTTCCTTGTCCACAAGTTGGATAAATCATTTATCTCCAAGCCGACTTCCTAAGGACCATCACATGATGACTCTGCTTGGAGCAGTTGAGAAACTTCATTGAGGTGCTCCTCTTCCCCAGGGCTTTGGAGTCTAAACTCCACTTGGAATCTCAGCTTTGCTTTGCTGGCATTTAGAAGTTTCATGATGCCTCACAGCTGTGAATCCCGAAGCTGGGAATTGCAGAGGATGTCACCTGTCCTGTAATGCTTAGGGGGTGTGATGAGAGGATGTGGATAGCATGCTAGTGTTTAAGATGCTCCAGGCAGCCTCCCTGCCTGATTCGGATACCACTCACTGGTTCAGATGCCACCACCTACCTGCAGAGTAGCTACCTCCTCTGTGACTCACAGTCCTTTGCTGTAAAATGGGTGTAATCACCAATTATACCCAGTATGTTTGTGGGAATGAAATGGATGTCAAGTGCTTATTGTGGCATGTAGAGCGTTGTGTGTGTAATGATAACTTATTTTGTTTGTATTTCTGTCTCTCTATTCCTTCCCCTTTAATGTTATAAAGTTGACCCAGTCATAGGAGTTGCAAGGTATATGAAGAAGCTTCTTAATTCATAACCAAGTTTACCAACTGGATCTCTTCAACCAGAAAAAAGGCAGATTAAAAAATACTAGAATCAGGACTATTTCTTGCCTGCTTACACCAGTTATCCTGGAGAAATGGGCAAGTGACTATAATCAGACCCCCTATTCCTGAATTTCAGGACTTAATAGAAGAGAATAGGAGTTGGAGGCATGGCTCAGTTTGAAGAGTGCTAGCCAATGAGCAAAAGTGGCAGGTGCTGACTTCAAGTTTCAGTCCTGCTCTTGGACCTAAAAAAAGGAAGGAAGGAAAGGAAAGAAGGGAAGGGAAGGGAAGGAAAAGGAAAGGAAAGGGAAAGGAAAGGAAAGAAAAAAGGAAAGGGAAGGAAAGGGAAGGGAAGGGAAGGGAAGGGAAGGGAAGGGAAGGGAAGGGAAGGGAAGGGAAGGGAAGGGAAGGAAAGGGAAAGGAAAGGGAAAGGAGAATAACATTTGACTAAAAGGGGCTAGAGTGATGGTGGCTTTTTCCTTTCCAAAGTAAGGCCATTCTTTTTTCTTTTTCTTTTTCTTTGTGTGTGTGTGTTTGGTCATGGGGCTCGAACTCTGGACCTAGGAGCTGTCCTTGAGCTCTTCAGCTCAAGGCAAATACTCTACTACTTGCATGACAGCACTACTTCTGGTTTTCTGGTGGTTAATTAAAGATAAGAGTCTCACAGACTTTCCTTGCCCAGGCTGGCTTTGAACTGTGATCCTCAAATCTCAGCCTCCTGACTAATATTATAGGCACGAGCCACCAGTGCCCAGCTTCTTCTTCTTGTTATTCTTTAAAAGGGGTATTTTAACACACACACACACACACACACACACACACACACGCAAGAATGGTTAGTGGATTCTAAATAAAGTTTCTAAACAAATGTTTGGCTTTTACGAAAACTCCCAGCATCTGCTTCATTTGCTTTATTTTTGCCTTGGCAATGGGAACTTTCATTACCAGCTAGCAACAGTTCTGGGGAGCACAACTAGCAGACACACCCTTGTCCTGCTACACTGTTATTTCCTCAACACTAACCCTGGACCTGCAAATCCCCAGGTATGCTTCCATTTCTTAAAGTGCCCCATAGCACTTCCTTCAAATTTGAGGATCCCCTTGATGACAGTTCAAGTTTACCACTGAAACTATGATGTTCTCCACCCATCAAATACTTTTAACCCCAAGGAAAAATAAACAGGAACATAAACGCTAACTTGGATACACTGCTTGGTAATTATTCATTAACTTTAAGCTTTCTGGGAGAAAGCACTCATATTTAAATTACAAGAACACTTATCCCTAAACTCCCATCAGCTGATCATCATCACCATCTCTCTAGTACAGTTATAGGGCAGGATGGAAAAGAAAGAGAGTGAGAGTAAGTGATGCAGTCAGAAGAGATAGATACAGAGATGATAGAAAGAAAGAAAAAGAGAGAAAGAGGAAGGAGGGAAGGAAGGAGGGAAGGAAGCAGGGAAGGAAGGAAGGAGGGAAGGAAGCAGGGAAGGAAGGAAGGAAGGAAGGGAAGAAAGAAGGAAGGAAGGAAAGAAGGAAGCCTAATAACATAAACCCTCTAGAGATTCAGCAGCTACTTGAACCTAAGAAAGGTAACAAAATCTTTTCTAGTTAATACAAAAAAATGTTACTGTTTCTTTTTTTAAAAAAGTTGTTACTGTTTCTTAATAGATAAAAGGCTGATGAATTTGCCATCTGTAACAGGTTGAAAACACTTTTTCTGTAAGCACCAAGGCTATTATGTCCTATGTAAATATCCATGGCCACATGTGCCACAGTTATACCACATAGCTGATTCTGTTTGTTGAATCTAGTAACTAAGAAAGTGTCTAGGAGGAGTTACTAAGGGCTAATAAGTAGGAAGCACCAGAGAGGCATCCCATAGAATATTTTAGTGAGA